TTCAAATTCTTTACATTTTGTTCTCAAAAATTGTAGTAGTTTTTTGTCTCCATCCACGATGCAAAACACAGGAAGATTTCTAATAAATATTCCAAAAAAACTTATTTTTTCCTCTTCTGTAAGTAACAAGGGTAAAGTTTTTCTTGCAAAATCTTCAAGTTTTACGATGTCTTCGTCGTCTAATAAACTGAGAGCTTTATGATTAGAATATCCGGTGTATGCAAGGAGATCAATAAGGTATGCTGGAAAATTGGTATCTATATCAAATTCTTTTAGGATATCCAAAATTTTATTCTTGCTTTCATTTACTCGCTGCATTTTCTACCAACCTAAAAAATTATATGTTTGTCACATTGAAAAGATTAAATATTAACAGAGAAAACCAATATACCAGGTAAAAATAAAAACAGGGAGCATGCCGCCATGTTTCTTGTTTAAGTAATCGTTTTGAAATTTTGGGTCAATAATTGAATCGCAAATACCCATTTTTATAGCCGAATTCGAAATACGATTCTCACAAAACTGACGCTTCTATGATCCTTAAATTAACAAGACCGCGAAAGAAGGTTAAAACGAACACAAAAGTTTCTGCATCAGCATTTGCGTTTTTTTCAAAGCTTGTGTCTTACAAAATACAAAATAACTACAATTGGAAATTTTGCGACCGTATTTATTTCATTAATTGTAAATAAAAACGAAAAACAAGCGAATGTGAAACGAAACTCTAATGTAAAAGAAGATGCGCTTTGCCATTATAATTTATTGGTGATAAATCGGAGTTAAATTTAAAATTTTGTTTTTATTAATAATTCAGTCAATATCCTTCAACGCACGCGAAAAAGTCTCAAAAAAAGTATCAATCTAATTTTGTATTATTGTTGTTTTAACGCGTGAATCGTATCCCAAAAACACGAGCTGTAATTTGAAGATACTCTGTAAGTTTTCTCCTCGCTATTAGTTTCGTGATTCTTTTACGAAGTAAAGGACGAAATATTCTTAGAAATATGCAAAGGAATTTAAGTCAAGCGTTTTCTCACAATAACCAAAAGAAAAACAGTTATTTTACTTACCTTAAGATCTGAGAAACTCGCCGAGAAATCAAAATAACACAACAGTCGAGACAACAATACACTTCAGACTGCACTCATAATAAGTATTTTGTTTATGCTGCAGAAAGTTAACACTTCCGTTACGCATTGCGCTGAAAATCACGCGGGAAATTTTTGGAACGCTATGATTGGTTGAAACTTGAAACTCAAGGTTATCTGTGAGGCTCCGATTTCCAAAAATTAACGGATTTCGCGGGATTTCGCAAGATTGCCGGTCGATTTCACGCGATTTCACAAGATTTCCACGCGATTTTGCGATTTCCATAGCGATTTCCGCGATTTCGGGGGATTGCGACAGAATTTGTGACAGTATTGCGCACAGTGGTTAACCCCTCGGGGTCAGGTAATTTTCCAACTATGTTTTTACGTTCCACCACAGATATGTCATTGTCTATATATATATTGGAATGTTTTTGCATCTTCTTGACTCTGTAGACAATAAACCTCTACTTCGTCGCTATTAATTATTTGTGTTACTGCGGCAACATATTTATACTTCGTGCAAGTAGCTCGCCTGCCTGGTAATTTAGTTGCTGTAAACTCCACAAGCACAAAGTTCCCTGATTTTAGGTCATCAATTGAGTAGAGCTCCGTCATTTCCCCACTATCTCCTACATCTACATCATCCAGACTATCTCCACTTTCTATCCAGTCTTCGTTGGATGACGAGCTAGTTTTAGAATGATTGTCAGATACTTCATCTGGCTCACTATTCGTGTTTTGTTTTTTCCCATGAGCTTTAGTTCGCTTTTCAACAATTTTGGATCTGTTTTTTAAATTATTTTTTAAACAATTTCTTTTCAATTCAGTCTGACCCCGAACACGAAGAAGCCTGTCACCAGAGTTGGACTGGGTCAAGCATAGAGTGACCCAGTTAGTTTACTGACCCGGTGACCCAGCTTGACCCGGTGACCCAGCTTGATCCAGCCTGATCCGGTGACCCAACTTGACCCAGTTTGACCCAGTGACCCAGCTTGACCCGGTGACCCAGTTTGACCCGGTGACCCAGTGACCCATCTTGACCCAGCTTTACTCAGTGACCCGTCTTGACCCTGTGGCCCAGTAATTAAATTATTGTTAGGTATCATCCAAAACAATTTCAAGTAACTTTTAATTTAAAAAAAAAACTTCCTAATAATATTCGGCAACAAGCACGTAGCCCAATTTCATTCAAGAGAACTAATACCTAAAAAAATCAAATGCATTTGTTTATAGTTTGTAGTCAAGTAGTCAATGAAAGTATTTAGAGAAAAGATTTATTTGGATTAAGCTAACTAGTAGAAAAAAATTAAATGTGAATGAACACCTGTAAGCAAACTGGTAAGCCCTGAAGCAAAGAAATAACATTATTCTAATACAATTCGGGACATGGAAAGTTTTTTACGGCAGTATTAAAGCAAACATCACAGAAATGGCAGTTGTCAAGCAATCGAGTATTATTTTCAACAAACCAGCATTAAGCATTTATTTCATAATCTGTACACTTGAACCGAGGGCACTGAGTTAACTGCGTTAGTCGATCAAACTAGGTGATTGGGTCGAATTGGGTCCCCGGGTGAAATTGGGTCAAACTGGGTCACTGGGTCTAACTGAAAAGAGTATGACGTGACCCAGCGACTCAGTGACCCAGTTTAATTTAGTGACCCAGTTGACCCAGTGACCCAGTCCAACTCTGCCTGTCACTACTGAGCTGTCCATTTTTGTCAAAAAAATACCATATCAAAGATGATTTACGCACCTTCATAACTTTTCCATTTATGTTTAATGCAAGAAAGGACTGTGTATCATTTTTAGATCTTGAATAATCTTTTAAATCTAGGGTGTGCAATGATTTAAAAGACGTCAACCTGGAATTTAGTATAGTGGCATCTTTGATCATATTTTGATTATACTCGCTATCGGAAAGTGCATCATCTTCTATCACATTTTCGGTTTCTTTTTGTAGCCTTAGGACTTGAGAATAGACTTCTTTATTGGCATTTTTAATACTGCTAACTTCGAAAACCTTACAATAGTCGTTTATATGCTGGTCAGCAATTCCTAAATCAGCCCAACATTTCACGGCGTCTTTTTGCGCCGCGAACAGAATATGATTTATTACAAATTCTGTAGGCATTTCCTTGTTTTGATCGTAATAACCAGTTCCAAGCTTAATATGCTCCTCTCTTGGAAATCGAAATTGTGAACCTGCAATTGCTAATTTAATACAGAGAAATATTAGACATTAAATACCTAAATCTGTACTAATTTCGTTAATACACTGTATTCGATTAATTCTTCTAAGAATATCAAGCATCCCAAAGTTTACCATCGTTGAAAAGGTGGACGTCATGGAGCGAGTTTCACGAAATAGTTTCTCACTAGGTGGTGCACCAATTGTTTGAATTGTTTTACGTTTTTCACATTTCGAATGTCAAGAGGAAGTTTGTTGAACATTTTAATGCACGCGTAGTAGCACCCTTTTTCAGTCATTGACAATTTATGCCCTGGATAGTTATATAATGCCGCATTTTTACGAGTATCGTAATTGTGACTTATTTTGTTTAAATTGAAGATATTTTTATTTTTGAATATAAACAAGCAGATTTCGTAGATGTAGAGTCCGAATGAAGTTAGAATGGGGTCATCCCGCCTTCATTTTTTATTTCTGATCCACAAAGTACATTAAAAATAAAAAGACCCGTGTGTCCTCAATTTTTATTTGCGAGTAAAATAAACCCAAAATAAATTATTGAAAAGCTGTGTTTTTAGTCCGAATTTGAAACGCTTCAGTCTAAATACGTCATAAACCTACAACCAATCACGTAGAAGTGAGCTGGCAACCTTACGCGAGGGTATGACGTTTGTCACATTTGACGTTTTGAGAGGGATGTTTAACTGCATCTAGCACGAAAGTGACAAGTGCCTGTGACAGATGACGCAAGTTATAAATGCCATTCTCCTGCAATATTGCCAAGTCGTTATGTCATCTGAATGGTTCTAGGAGCTGATTGGTCGGGCTTATTACGTCACAGAGCCCGCCATAATCATATCGTTTTGAATAAACCTTTAAAACCGCACATGTTCATTATTTTTTTGCTAATCAGCCTCTTTAAATAAACTTTTACTGTCCAAAAAAAGGTTTTATGGTTTCAGGTACACGCTTATTAAATTAGAACTGCGGAATTCAACTATACTGTAAACCCCCATGATTTCTGAACACTCCCCTATACGATTCACGATATTTCAACCTGTACATCGTTCTAATGACATTTTTTTGTATCTTAAAAACCTTATTGTGATCAACGCCTTGTCCCCAAAACGTAATGCCAAATCTAAGTCTACTCTCAAAGTTAGCATGATAGACAATTTTATGTTTAACTTCAGAAACAGTCATGTTGGGTATATCTTTTTTACCGCATTACAAAAAAAATAGAAAAAAATACTCTGTTCCCAGTGAGCAGAGTGCCGTCACAATAACGTCATATTTCCGCCACTCCAAAGGTTATTTTAACGTCATTTATATAGTTTATTTATACCTAAATATGACGTCATTATGTCATAGACCCTTTACGTCATTATATGTACGTTAAAACGACGACATTCAATGTACGTTAGAATGACGGCATTTTATGGGGTCAATAGCCCAAAATAAAAAGTAGGGAATTGGTTAATTTTTCTGGGAATATGACAAAATTAAACAATAAATGTACTAAATAACTTTATTTTTCTATTTATACGCTAAAAGTACAAACTACTTTAGTAAAATCTAATATTGAAAAAAAACGATTACTGTATACTATGAATAATTGGATAAGATATAAAAAAATCAGGTTTCTTTAAAAATGGAAACAAAATACACTTAGCAACTACATCTTTAATACACACAACTTCAAGAGAAGGCGAAAGGTTAGATACAGCATAAATGCACAGATCTTCAGATGATAAAGGATAGTCAAAAAATGATTCATAATGTGAAAATGATTTGCCTACAAGGTATATGTTACCATCTTTAATGATATTATGTATTTCAAATACCTTTTTTTTTAGTAATGCAGTATGAGTTATAAGAAGAAACTGGGTAAATAATAAAAGTACACTTATTATATACAACTTTTTTAAAATGCTTTATATCTATTCTACCTCTATATATTATAGGAAGGATTCCAATATGTTCTAATGTAGGCACTACCTGATCATTGTTCTTAAAAGAATTTGAAAGAAACTGCAATTCTTGTATCCTACGACATAATTGTTGCAATGGTTTTTTAGGCGATTTTACGAAGTATTTAAGTTTTCCTAAAAAATTTTCATAAGGGAAAGCCGAAAATTCATCTAGTGGGCCATATTTACTACAATCTTCATGTAAATGACAAAGCATATGGACATTATAAATCAGAAACTCCCAACCATATATATTAGGACTATGATTGGCAAATTCATTTAAATATATGCCAGCGCGATTGGCACCAATATTGTTTATATGACTTGAAGATACTAAAATGGTAATTCCAACATGGAAAAGCATAAAATGTTCGTACATGGCAACATCAAGTTTATCTCTTAAAACAATAGGTGATACATATAACAGAAATGTTCTGAACTCTGTTGCTTTCCATCTCTGCAAATCTTGCAATGATCGTCCTTTCCTATTGAATTCTAATGGGATATAATCACTCAACAACAAAATATCATCTGAAATTTTTTTTACAATTTGATTTCCTAATCTGACATGTAGTGCACCCGATATCCAAATGTTTAAGAGTTTCCTCATAATTCCCAGGCAAACATTATGCATGTAATCTATAGCAAAATGCGACACCAGTCCTAAACCAGGCACTTGTACCAGTGGAGAGTCATATAAGTGGTGAGATTCATCTGACTGTAAAGTAAATGTATGGTCTGTTCTCTTTGTACTATGAACTTTTTTAAATATTACTCTCCCATTCAAATAATCTCCAGTTTCAATACATCTCTCGCATGATGAATAACCACTGTGAGATTTAATTCCTTTTAAATAAGATCGTGCTGGAGCATCACATACAAAAGCATAAATTGAAATTGATATTGTAATTCCATTTATCTCTATACCATTATGTATTAAAACCTTCAACTCTTCAACAAAGTCTTCCAGATATGTACTTAATGGCACAGGCTTCCCAGAGCCACTAAATATGGCAACAACAAAGGGTTCTACGGTAATAGATTTAATCTGACATAATATTGGCCAAATATTTACATTGGAACTTTTAAATAGTGGCAGGCCGTCAACATTGAACGCTAATTTAATATTAATCAAGTTTGGTGATGTAGAAATAAGAGGAGACAGAATTCTTTGTAAATTAGGAGATATACCCAGATAAACCATTTCTCCACTATCCAGTTGTTTTGTAGCGCAACTTGATGGTGTATTTAACAAAGTTCTACAATCAAGTGGTAAGTAGGGATGGGAATCATGTAATATATGCAATAGATCTGTGAATGCCGAATGTGAAACTTTAAATTTTAATCCCCATTCTCTTAAACTATTGGCAAGTGCATTATGTTTGGGAGTTTCTGATTTTTCCTAGTATTTTTATATATTAACATTGTCATTAAATACATGGCTCTTACCTTCAGAATCAGAATTTACATTTTCGGAATCAGAGATTGAATCAGAATCAGAATTTTCGTCAGAGTTATTATTGGAACCATAATTAATTTCAAAAGAACAGCTTGGAAAACTATTGAAAGATCTAATAATGTGTGTTGGACAGCTGTTGCCACTCTGCGATACATTTGCCTCTTCGAAACAGAATGCTTAGGCATTATTTTTTAAATTTTGTAACTTTTGGCGCTGCGGAGCGTGTTTTAACCAGCACTTAATTATATCTTCAATTTCCCTCTCGGTACAATCTGTAGATCGTCTCACTGTAGCTGTAAGTAAAACCCATTAGTAATCAATTATGCTTTTAGTTATAAAACATACCAACAATAGCATTTTTCAAGTTCAATTCAAAAAAAGGGTGTTTTCCTGCTCTCTTGCCACAAAAATTATATTCTGTGGCTAATGGATTACTAATGCAACGCTTCAGGATTAGATTAGTCTTTTGGGTAATACCTTTACCTCCAAAAGATGAAAGATATGTAACCTGTAAGACAATAACCGGAATGAAGTAAATATATCTACAATTTACGGAAGCTTCCTTACCAAATTAGTAAAGTGTTTCTCGTTCTTCAAATATTCGTCTAATATTGAAACAGAATCTACGTCGGCTAAAGGAAAGTTTACAGGAAACTTGGTGGTAATTTCTTCAACTGTAGTCGAATGTGAAGGGTTTTGGTTTTCAATCCAGTCGATAATTTTATTGTTTTGTTCCTTTATAAGATGAAGCATTGTAAATAATTTTGAACGGAACCCTAAAAGACATAAAAAAAATATCACCCTGTAAACACTTTATAAATAATTACGTTTCTCTTCCTCATTGTTGTACGAAGACGATAGTATTGTTGGTCTTGAGGATGTTGTTGGGGTAGAAATTTCTAAATCTAAATTGTCAGTATCAACTTGCATCGATGGCGAATTTGGAGTAAAAGGAGGGGATTGAACCACATGAACTGAAACAAAACCCAAAATATAGATGTGTCCTTGACCTACTTCTTGCTGTTTAAAGATTCATATAATTATAGTTAAGTATGTAAAAAATCTCTCGATGTTCATTGAAATTGCTAATTTTTTAAATACATGCAGATACCTACATAAACGGAATGCTTACCTTCCGAACCTACTGTTTGATTTCCAATTAGTTTTTTAATCGCTGCTGGTCTAGGAAATTTCGATGGAATTTGCTCTTCATCAGATGATTCGTAATTCTGGTATCTTGAAGGAAGTGTTCGAATTCTTTTTATTGGTTTTGGGTTTGTAGCCTCTTGCTCTGATTGTACATCGGAAGTAGTTTCAGCCTTCTTTAGTTTTATGGATGCCTTTTGAAGATCATCTAAATTATTTGTGAAACAATCGAATATCTCTCCATTTCTAACTAACCTGTTTCAAATAAACGCTTTTTTATATTGTATAACTCCCAATCATCGCTTGGTTGTTCAACGTGCTTTAACGCCTTATTGTAACGTTCGAGTTTTTTATGGGGCGGCCACCAACACTGCTGCTTTAAAGGAGTTAACCATGTGTTACAAATTACCGCAATTCCTTCCCCTGCGTCTGAGAATTCTACGCCTACGTACATTCTAATAAATCAAAAAATTAATATTGTATATATACCTACCTACCTACTTTTATAGTTAACGCACCTTTTATATTATAATATCATAAAACTGGTAAAAAGTATAACCACAAAACTTCGTGTAAACAACTGTTAAAATGGCTGGTGGTGGTCGCTGTGTGCATGCGCAGTAGGCCGCTGACCGCGGGCAAGGGGGAACATTTCGGGAGAGGGCAGCTGACATACGCGCATAATTCAATTCGAATTCCGCGAAATACGAACAAACTTTAACAGGCAAAAATATATTAATGCGAGTACTACAAATTTTTAATATACTGTGCGTGTACAAAAATTAACAAGTGTAAGAATAATATACGTATGTATAATACAAAATCAACCTAAGTAAAATACCCTTATAATGACGTTATATGTACGTCTTTTGCGTCACGTTTATAAAACGTCACAAAAATCACGTTTTTTAAACGTGATCTAAAGAACAAACCACGTCATTAACGAATAATGACCAAATCCTGACGTTACATTTACGTGATGTTGCTAGCTGGGTTTTCTGTCTGTCTTTATTGTAGTGCGTATTGTTTATCAGCTATATGGATCACGAGGGGCGAACCTCCATTGGAGTCTGGTGTACAAATTAATTGGAGTCTTTGGAGTCCCAGTGGTAGTCTCAGTGGTAGTCTCTGGTATTCTTTGGTAGTCTCTGGTATTCTTTAGTAGTCACATTGGTAGTCTTGGTAGTTTCTGGTAGTCACAGTGGTAGTCTCAGGTAGTCACAGTGGTATTCGCTGGTAGTCACAGTGGTAGTCTTAATGGTACTCTTTCATTGTCGCACTTATATAAAACCTCGAGTAAAAACTTATATAAAAAAACTCGATAAAAACTCATGACTCCTTTCTCAGTTTTCCTATCAGAGGATAGGTTTGACGACAGATAATATCTCGAGCAATAACTATACAAAAATATTTTTAGGAAAATATGGCAGCAAGGGTATACGAGAGTAATTATATAATTATATTTTTGTATCAAAATTATTGTTTGAATTTTTCCTATCCACAACGTTAGTTTTTGTAACATAAATATAATAAAAATTACATTCGAGATTACATTCATTTTCAGAAACAAATGATTTCTATTCTTTCATATAACTAGATCGGTACGGAACTCGCTTCGCTCGTTCCGGCCGATCACGGCGTTTAATTAACAATCGCCGTTTTGTGTGGTTTACCGTTTGTCAATTTTTTGTTTTTTTGCTTGATTGTTTTGATAATGCAGTTTGAACCGTGTTCTGTGTGGTTAGAATATTGTAAAAGGCGAAAAAAGAAGAAAGAGACTTGATTCGCCTCAAAATGAACTAATATATTGATACTCTCTTTTTTAGTCAATCTCATCCTATAGGTTGGTAAAAATGCTTTGCATTTTAAATCTCCGCTAGAGTGAGTTTATTTCTCACAAATACTGCTGAAAATAAGAATGTTGCGTTTTGCGCACAACACGACTTTTTGCGTACCTATGCGTCTTATTTGCTTTTATTAGATGGACTTACCATCCAAATTTCGTTCAAATTGCTCCAAAAATAAGACAGTTGCGCTCTCCGCATGCGCAATAAGAGTTTTGAAAAGCGTGTTTCATTTGTTTTTGTTAGGACCCACAGAGTTGTACTCGTATATAGTAAATAGAGGAGCTGTACACAGGACCTGCGCGTTGCCAAATTAACTCCAACTACAGTGGTCACATACTTATATAGTTTTAACAGCCAAGGCGTTGTGGCGCATTCGCGGTGCGTGAAATGCGTTTGTTTTGCTCACACCTACGTTGTTTATTGGTCACTATATCTTCATCCGGTTAGTGCGCACACTCGTCAACGGCCTGCGCAAGATCCAATTGGAGTGAATTTTATGCAACAACACTGTCTCTCTATTTATTATATACAACTCTGTGGAAGGACCTAACACCAAAGTTTCGTGCAAATTGCTCCGTAAATAAGTAAGTTGCGTTCTGCGCAACATACATGAAACCCTAATGTACTTAGATGCTAAACAGTTTCACGCTTATATACAACCGTTCACACATTGCTCCGCACATTGACACACAAAAGAAGACATCGCTCGACTTCGGCGGCTGCACCGCCTCGCCTCACGCATGTACCCAAGTTGCCGTGGAATCTAAAATATGAACGGACACTTTAGGAGACCAATGTAAAAAATTTGCTGTGGCCAGCACAGATAACACCCGCACACCTGCACATGCGCGTTTCTGCCCAAAATCTTTTCAGATTTTCCTTTTAGGTCTAGGAATATGTGTACCAAATTTGTTTGAGTACAGACCGACCTCCAATGCAATACCTCCCTTACCAATACAATACAATACAACGTAAATGTGCGGGTTGTGTCAAGGTGTCTATATACACATCTACAAAATTTGGTACAATTCGACGCAAAAGTTTCGCCATAATATTAATTTAACATTTTTCCTTACGCATGCGTGATTATGCCCAAAACCTTTTCAGCTCTTCCTCTTATGTCTGAGAATATGTGTATCAAATTTGGTTCCAATCGATTAAGCCGTTTAATCGGAAATGAGAGTACAGACAGACCGACAGACCGACATCATAGAGACTTTGTTTGATTCGGATACCTGGTGCTTCAAAACGTGTATTTTCGTAAATAAAAGTTGGGGGTCATTTTTTACCCCAATGCAATAACTCCCTTACTAACGTGCGGGTGGTAAAGACTGTATCGTTCTAACCCTCGGCGTCTCCCAATAAACGCCAAAATATGAACAAACTGGCTTCTGTATGCAATTGGAGGGCATAACACCGTAATGTAAATGGCACCCAGTCTCACGTTTGTATAGAACCGTTAACACATTGCTCGGCTTCGCTTCGCACATTAACACACAAATGATGATGTCACCGTTGGATTCTTCAATATGGAATATTTTAGTTCTAGGTAAACTACTTTTTCCGTTCACATTACGCCAAAGTGTTATTAAGAAAAGTTGTTCAGAATGAAAAGTTATAGCGTTATGCAATCAATCAATTTTCAAAGTGGTTGGCCATACTTTGATAAAGACGATTTTATATTTTATTTTTAATTTGCCTATTATATGTCAATTATATCTGTCATATGTGATATATGAAGCAGTCTATTGCGCCCAAGGGCATAATGAGAGGGCATAATGGATTGTCATCTCATTATGCCCTCAAAAAATTATGTAATAAAAAAGATGCAACTTGATTCGTATGAAGCACTTTAATGTTGGGCAAACAATAATCATGACATTTGTATATTGGAAATGCATTCTTTGGAACGATGAAAAATAAAATGTTGTATGCACCTCGGGCATTACTCAATATTTAACCCTCGGGCGACTTACAATCCCTCGGGCTCTGTCGCCCTCGGCATAAATATTGTCTTAATGCCCTTGATGCATAAATAACTATTATGGACCTATTTTACTTCAAGGGAATCATCCATTTCAAATCTCAACAACTCGGCGCGAGGAAATAGCGACGAACTATAAAAAATTAAAGACCCTGTTAAAGGAAAATCAAGACAATCTAGAAAAATATCAACTGTTTGTTTTTGTTTTTTATATATTTCTTTTTTGTATTAAATAAAACCTTGGCTAATAAACCATGATAACCCACTTTGCGAGTTACGGAAGCTAATTTTTTTTGTTTTTTTTTTTCATTATGGATGGAAACTCTTCGATGTTTGGCGATATTGAAGGAAAAAGTGGGTGAAAGTCTTGTTCATCCGATGCATATCAGTATTACTTCTGTTTAGTGGTAGTCTTTGGTAGTCTCACTGGTATTCTTTGGTATTCCACTGGTAGTCTTTGGTATTCCACTGGTAGTCTTTGATAGTCGCCTGGTAGTCCCAGTGGTAGTCTTAGGAATTCCCAATGGTAGTCTTTGGTAGTCTCTGGTAGTCCTTAGTAGTCTCTGGTAGTCTTTAGTATTTCCATTGGTAGTCTTTGGTAGTCTGGTGTACATTATTTTCGAGGGAGGTTTGCCCCTCGATGGATCATATAGTTATCAAACGAAAGCTTATATATTATAAGAGGTGAACCCAGTGAAATTCAGCCTAAATTCAATAAATGAAAACTCTAGATCTTGATTATTCTTTCGCAACAATCTTGCGACGAACTTCCCCCTTAGCTCGTGCACAAACGGTAGCTTAAATGATGAAAGCACAATTATTTCAAGTTCATTTAATGGATGACTAATAATATAATTGTACAATTCAATTTATCACACCGTAGACGGTCGGTCGGTCACTTGGGCGCCACCAAGACTTATCTGCACCCCTCGCTGCACCCCCTAAGTCTTGGGAAAGGGGCGGTCTTCTCGGACGGGGTGGAAAGCCTCCGGGTATCCTCTAGTGGCGAACGGAATATACCAGGGATCAGTCAGAGTTCACCACAAAATGGCGGCGGTCACTTCCGGATTATCTAAAACAAAATAAGGCCGACGGCCCTGGCGGTAAATTTCCTAAAGGGAATAAAGCAATAAAGCACAAAGCGGTGTCTAGGAGAAAGAAAAGCGGAAAATCAAGGAGAACAGAATATAATGAAGTTTAGCGGAACGGTGGCAAAAGGTTACGGTTGTGCAAACAAGGGAAACTCAAAACGGTAGTGAAAAGGAAAGGACAACGGCATGACTTACGGTCGCTAAAAAGGGAAAACGGTAATACAAAAGGGTTTCGGTGAATTCGGAATGATACGGTTTCGCAAATTAGAAAAATCAAAAGGCGTACTTACAACTCGAAAGTATGAAGCAGAAAAGATCCTTCCCAAATTGAGCATTTTCCTTTTAAAGGAAACCAATTTTGGTAGAAGTGGAACATGGAATTTCCAAAGCCCGCAGTGCTCGCACCGAGCGATGTAGAAAATAATTCGGTTTTTAATTAATTGCAGCTCGTGTGATTATCTTAAAAATCTGGGGCAACTTGCAAACAACTAGAAAAATTACAGCGCCTCTGTGGACACCTCTCTCGACGGTTTTTGACAAGGTTTACTACAACTGCCCATTAACATGGCATTAATTAACAGCGCTTACCTAATCAAGCGTAATCAAACCTAAGTACTTATCAATCCAATCTGCAACTAGCTCCCTTGGACTTCTTCTTCCCAAACGGCGCTATCGCTTTAACACTCTTATCGCAACATGCAGGCATACGGACGGGACTGCAAAACTTGTAAACAACTCGATTTGAACTCGTTCTATCCTTGATTTTACTTATTATGGGAATCTAAAACACCTTATAAATAATTAACGGCATTGAAATCAAAGAATATTAATTGCCCCTCATCTTCGCCAGGACAACATCCTTCGGTGGTTACAAAAATATCGCGGTCGTGGTCTTTGTAAACGGCAAACTAAATGGAGAAATTCCGGGTGCTTCGTTACAATCTTTCTAACAACTTATTCCTTTCTTCTTGAATGTCATTGCTTTTCTGCAAACTCTGTTTTAACTCTTTAATGTCATTAGCATAAGATTTCTGTAAGGCTACGATTTCGTCAATCCAAGGTGAATTATTACGCCTCCTTTTTTTGCATCTGGGATTGCTACTTCCTGTAGGTGTAGAGCATATTTGAGCGTTATCTTCAACAGGTGTGGTATCCATGTCGCTACGGACCGAAGCCGTTGAAAAGTTTCTTTTTTGTGTATTGGAGGATGTACCTGTTGAGCATCCTCCCATATCTCCCTTATATATGGGGGTGGCACATGAAATAATGTTTAATGCGGAGGTTGCATTTATTGACATATCGTTTTCAAATATTTCATCAAACTTGTCATAATTACTGCTTTCCTTTTGCCTGAAAGAGGAGCTCTAAGCTGTACCGCGCACGAAGCCTCGTGTTCCTTTTAAAAATTGCTTCGAGCTCGGACGCGCCCGAAATTGGATTTCCCTTGTCCCCTCATGCACCACCTATTTTCTAGGGGCGCGAAACACTTTTGAGGTTATATACCTACTTGTCCAAAATGAACAACTTCCAAAAAGAATTTGTTTTAAAGGTAGGTTTCTCTTATATGCTGGTATATACTTAACATATTAAAATAAATTTGAACACAGACGTTATTTGATAATGCAGCTCAAAAGCTGATGGATTTTGATACAAGCAGTAGTAGCAGTTCCGATTTTTCATTTGTTGAACAGGATAACTGCAAGAAGCGAAAGATTTGCCTGCGTGTTAAGAACTATGTGGAGAATATAGTACGTGAATATACAGAAGTTGAGTTTAAAGCAGATTTTCGCATGTCGAGGAGTACTGCGTATAAAATTATTAGTAAGTAGTAAGGTATATAAAATTAGAACATTTGTGTGATTTTCTCCTTTCATAGATATGTTCGAAGAAACAAGCGTTATACCACAACATACAACTGGCAGGGAAAAAATTACTGCGGAGAAAGCTTTTCTCCTTAGTGTCTGGTATTTGAGCAACCAAGAATCATTTAGACAAGTTTCTAGTCGTTTTGATGTGACATACAGTTCGGCTCATAGGTGCCTCATTAGAACAGTTAATTTCCTATTGTCAATAAAATCAGATGTTATACGATGGCCGAGCCTAGAAGAGATGGAAACTATTAGCGCAAACTTTGAAAAAATAGGAGGTATAAAGAAAGTTATAGGATGCATAGATGGAACGCATATTGAAATAAATAAACCTAGACTAAATCAAGACTCTTACATTAATCGTAAAGGATACCACAGTTTATTAATGCAAGGTGTTGTTAATAATAAAAAAAAATTTATAGATGTATTTTGTGGCGAGCCTGGCTCAATGCACGATGCTAGACTTCTCCGAAAGTCTGGAATTTATAGAACAATACTGAACAATGCTAATGTTATGAAGAACTATATAATATTGGGAGATTCTGCATATCCAAATTTAGACTGGCTTGTTACACCATTTAAGGATAACGGGAAACTTTCAGTTCGACAAAAAGAATTCAATAAGAAAATTTCAGCAACCAGAGTTATAGTTGAAAATAGTTTCGGTCTTCTGAAATGTAGATTTCGACGCCTAAAAAAATGGAAAACATCAATGTAAAACTGTTCCAAGTTAATTATGGCTGCAGCTATCTTACATAACATATGCATAGACGAAGATGACTACATCGAGTTGAATCTCGCGGATAATACTGATCCTGAGGAAGTTCCATATCATTCTATCGCAGAACCGACCAATACTTCTCGGCAACAACAAATCTTTTGTGAAATGTATACAAATAACCCAATGTGATATGCAATAAAATAAAACTTTTATTTCTTACAAGGTACAAAATATGTAACCAAAAAAACATGTACAAATTAATAAAACCGATCACAAATAATGGCGGTTCATTCTCGTGGAAGTCAATTATCTCTTGTTGCATTTTTAATCTTTCTTCATGTCGTTGCTTCTTCGCCTTACATTCTTCCCTTTTTAATTTAATATATTCTACGAGAGATGTTTTAGCCGATGCTTTTGTTTTCTTCTCGCTTTCACTGGCAACGTGTTCATCAGTTTCAGCTACAATAGGCTGTTCAGTAGATTCACTATTTGTAAGGTCCGTAAGGGGAGCGTTATTAGAATTAATTGAATGTTGGCAATTGTTTGTGGGTTTATCTCCTAAAACATCATCCATCAAGTCGAAAAATAAAAAGCGAGCTGGAGCCTGTCCGGTACGATTGCGATTATCTTTAGCTTTTGAGTAACTACGGCACAGACTTTTCCATTTGTTTCTTGCCATTACTTCTGTAATATTATGGCCGGAACTTAACATATCGTTACAAATATGCTCATACACATGTTTACGCTTTAATGGATGATTGAGATCATCCTTATGTACATTCATTGCATGAATGAGATCTACTGTAGCTTGATATGACCACACATTTCCTCCTTTTGAAACATTTCCCTCATCGAATTGATTTTCTTCGGTTCTTTGTGTAGTTACATACTCACAGTTTGCATTTGTTTTGGCATGAAATAAAAGGCTGCCAAGAAACTTCTCATCTGTAATGCAAAATAGAACAAGAGGTCATGTAATCTGCAAAGCTTACCATTTTGTGCCCTTACGTAATCATCATGATTTACAATAACATTATAATGTTTATTTGTTTGTGGGTCTATTAACTCTAAGTTGTACTCATCCACAGATTGCAAATTCATCTTATATAAAAAATCAAAATACACATAACCTCAAAAAGGAAAACAAACCAAATTATTTCCCTGTTCCATTTGAATACGGTGGCAACTACAACTAGAGCTACTCCGAACGAACTGCACCAGAGCTTCACGCACTTAAATGGAAAGCGACTAATATATCCAATTTGTGCGACCCCTTCCAGTTTTTCCGTTATTATCCTTCAATTTAACATATTTGTTTCAGATTTCGAAATTGTTTGTGTAACTCAGTCGCATTAGCATTATAACTCATTTCGTTAAATTGCCCTCCAGAATGACTCTTTCTTTATGGTTCTATCACGTCATTTAGCTCTATTTTCATGAAGTAATAGTAACAATATGGTATCATGATCGAAGGTCAATTTATTATGCAGCAATCGAGGCACCGATGCACATTGTGGGTTCTAAGGTAAATTGCTTTCAGTACTAGCAGTAGTTTCATCAGATTCAGTAAGCCATAGTAACTATCCATCTGAAATAAAAGCAAAGTAAGAGTTAAAATGTCACAATTAAATTACATTTAAGGCATCACCTATAAATAATTATTTTACAGGGCCCGGAAGTGAAATGTGACGTTTTTCGCTACACTGTAGTGATTAGAAATTTTGGTATAAAAAAAAGTAAATATCTGAAAAATAATACGCATTGAATGCAGTTTTTAAAAAATTACGTCTATGTAAGCTAGAAGGTATTTCTTTTTAATTAAATAAACAAAAAATCGTTAACACTGATTTAATAATTAAATTTACCCTATGTTCACTTTATTTTACTGAATTCATTTAATTACCGCGTACCTACCTACCTATCCATGTTTCGTGAATTAAAATACATTTCCAATATCACCTGACCAATTCAAACGTTTCAAACTCTCCCATTTACTTTCAATAACGAGCATCTGTGCCAACACATTTAACACCGAGATGTACTTTACACTGTAAGTAGAACACCGCTTATCCGCAATAAGTCACATTTTAACATACCAGTCTACGTCTACCCCGAATTTAAAATGGGTCCAGTGTGACTGTAAGGAATGAATAAATCTATTTATAATACACATTTTTTTAACATACAAGATCATCAAGGATTTAAAGTGTACCCATTGCGCTTTCCTCACCAAGCATAAATCCAGTCTTCAAAGCATCTAACATTTGTCAAGACATGGATCCTGCCAAGGATTTAAAATGTAACCGGTGTGATTTTGTCCCTTAAAACACATTCAATTTTAAAACACATTTGTTAATACACAAGACCAGTAATAATTTCAAATGCGCCTGATATTAAATACAACCCCTTAAATCCCGTTACTTTTTAAGGAAATACCTAATCACGCGCCAGTGAAATGCCGGGAATGTCAACTCAGTTCGCACATGATCGGTATTCTACACTTGCACCTCTGCTCTGTTGCACCGTGACTCCCTTCGGTGGCCACCGCACTGCAACCGAAAGCGCGCTAGAATTTGAATTTGCATTGAACTGTATTATAAGGGAAAGGGGTAAATCTACGAGTAAAAAAATATACTCGTGGACCCACTTAGATTGCACCGTTTCGTAATAGTTATTTATGCATCAAGGGCATTAAGGCGATATTTATGCCGAGGGCGACAGAGCCCGAGGGCCTCTGGCCCAAGAGATTGTAAGTCGCCCGAGGGTTAAATATTGAGTAATGCCTGAGGTGCATACAACATTTTATTTTTCATCGTTCCAAGGAATGCATTTCCAATATACAAATGTCATGATTATTGTTTGCCCAACATTAAAGTGCTTCATACGAATCAAGTTGCATCTTTTTTATGACATAATGTAACTCCGTCAATCAATTTGACGGGCCGTTTGAGGGCATAACGAGGGGCATAATGAGAGGACAATCCATTATGCCCTCCCATTATGGCCTTGGGCGTAATAGACTGCTTCATATATCACATATGACAGATATAATTGACATACAGGGTGATTCCTATAGTACCTGCCACCGTTTGGGAGCGTGTAGGTGGTGCGTAGGGGAGTATTTTGATATAGGACACTTGGGGTCGGAAATCTAAAATAAGGGTGCCAGAGCCAAATTTACCTTCTGGAATTTCGCGCCTGTAGGTAGGCAACCCAGTGAACTTATACTGGGACCACTGGTTCCAGCACGATGGGTGCCCTGCTCACTACGGGCGGCAGGTGAGGGAACACTTGGACCAAACCTATCCGGACAGATGGATCGGCCGTGGAGGTGCGGTGGAGTGGCCTGCCCGCTCGCCCGACATCACCCAATTAGATTTTTACTTGTGGGGTGTGATGGAAGCGCACGTCTACGAGACTCCCGTCGAATCCGAAGAGGACTTAATTGCGCGCGTCGTCATGGCCGGAGAGGCTGTTCGCCAGGACGTAGGAGTCTTCACGCGAGTTCGAGGGGAGTGGTTGGCTAGATGTAGGAAGTGCATTGAGAACAACGGTGGCCACGTTGAACACTTTTAAACGTTATTGCTTTTGACTGTCGTTTTCCCTCCTTCCCTCCCATGTCGCTTCCTCGCGCTAACTCGCTCTGCATCGCTCCGCGCGAAACGTCGGTCGGTTGGGTTGCCTACATACAGGCGTGAAATTCCAGAAGATAAATTTGGTTCTGGCGCCCTTATTTTGGATTTCCGACCCCAAGTGTCCTATATGAAAAGACTTCCCCTAGGCACCCCCTATACGCTCCCAAACGGTGGCAGGTACTATAGGAATCACCCTGTATAATAGACAAATGAAAAATAAAATTTTTTTCGTGTAGTCAGCAGGAAACGTGGAAATAAACAAAACAAACGCTTGCACGTTGACGCGTTAAAGCAAATTCAAATTCAAGCGCTTGCGGTTGGGCGTTGTTGAGGGAGTAATTTTAAATCTAAGTGTATAGGATAAAAAATATTGTGTGCACCACGGCACGAAAGTGGCAAGGAAGTGGCCAGCCTCGGCTTCGCCTCGCCTGGTCATATCTTCCTTCGCCCCGGAAAACGACCACTTTCCCGCCTTGGTACACAAAGTACTATTTTAAAAATTATAGATTTTAAATGTCCACCATTAAACTATACATTTTTCATTTTCTCGGCCGTGGTTCATAACTTTGTCAGATTTTAAGTGAAGAAAATCATTATGAGAGACCTAGCACAGCATATGAGGCTACAGATCTCTACATACAATTAAGGAATGACATTTTTAAGTATGTTATAAACTTTATTTGTCGAAAATCCATTTCCTTAAAGTTTAGTACCCGCAACAGATACGTTAACGTATATCTGTATTATTACTTACCTACTTTCTTTTCATGATTAAAATTCAAAATATTTTGTGTATACCAATAAAATAAAGAATATAAGTTTGTGTTTTTAGAACAAAACTGCCTACTTGTTTACAAGACAAAATTACTTAATCAACTAGCAAACGTCCTGTGCAATTGCTAATATTTGTTCTTTAATTTCTTCTCCCCGAGGAACATCGAAATATTCTTTGGCCGTAAATAAGTTTGCAAGTGTGTCTCGTTCCTTTATGCTCATTTGAGTATAATTCTCAATGGCCTTTCGTAAAATCATGCTTTCATATGGATTAAGATACAAATAAAGATCTTGCAGTAAGATGTCACTGGTAACTTCAAGTTCAGGATCTGCTAACATGAAAAGAGTAGTTCTTGAAATTTTGGATGGTAATGATCCAGTACTTAAAAGCATATGTTGTAATGCTCTGCCTATATACACATAGTTTCCCTTCTCTTTTTTCTATTAAGGGGTACGAAAGGAACGATGCAGTTTTCACCGCGAAAATACAACCGGTCAATTTTTTCAAAGAATATGTTGAAAACTTCCTTCGTTAAACCGCCCCCATCGATTCCTTCTTCTTCGATAAACTTTACCGACAACTGCTTTTCTGATGCTGACTTATCCTTATAGAATTCAATCATTATCTGTACACACTCTGATCTCTTCACATTTAGACACACTACTGGTGCATCTGGTGGCAATGAGGGTATATTCAGAGCAATTGGAATATTTGTGATTGAGCCGGTCTCGTTTAAAGCAATGGGATCTATTGTACCGGTAAGGATAATCTCTGGGGTATCATTAAGGTCAGAGAAAACAGGGTCTGTCAGGAGGTCAGTTATGCACTGATACGGAGACCAAGTCAAAGGCGGATTTAAATTCAAATTATCGCAGTCAAAAGGCTGTATCCATTGCTGCTTGAGGCTTGCCTTGTCGTCTTAGGGCCTCCCGGATAAAAACCCCGCCACCAGGGTAAGCTTTTTCCATAATGGATGAGGGGTCCTATCAGGCGAAAGAAGTAATTTAGATGTAGGATGTAACATAATGGAATATTTACACAGTGACATATAGAGCGGAAACCAAACTTGAGTAGGCCAAAAGGGGACTACCACAATTCCCTCGGCATTATCATTCTTAATTTTTTGTAAAACTCTTAAGATAATAGAAAAAGGAGGAAAAGCGTAAAATTTTAAGGCGTTCCACGGGATCGTAAGCGCATCAACTTTCCAAGAGCTTGGGTCCCTAAACCATGAGCAATATTTATCACACTTAGCATTGAGCCTAGATGCAAATAAGTCGATATCAGGAGTTCCGAATTTTCTGGAGATTTCTAAAAATGAATCATTGCATAATTCGTACTCCGTTTCTCCATCAAACACGCGAGCCGCTCTATCAGCTTCGAAATTTTGCCTAGACGCGAACCCAAAAATTGACTGTTGAAGGCTTTAATTTGCTTTTCTTATAATTAATAAGGAAACCCAAACTTAAAAGAGTTTCTTCTGTAACTTTTATATTTTTAAGGCAGTTTTCATATGAATTTCCAAGAAGTAAAAAATCGTCTAAGTGCACTACAGAGACCAATCCCTGGCCTCTCAAAAACGCCACAGCAGGCTTCATTAATTTCGTAAAAATATATGGGGCTGTACAGAGGTTTTTTAAATTTAAAATAAGACATCTGGTTTAGGTACCAAGAAAATTGACGAGACATACTGTCCTTTAACAGAATTACATTTAGAAATTACCCCACTAGCCAAAAAATTTTGTAGTATGACAGAAATTCCCATTACTCCCCATAACTTTTCCTTAGGCAAACGTTGTTGATAAATTTTTGTAATAAAAGGAATCCTGTAACCTTTTAAAACGTTTAAAAGTGATGGGTCTTTTGTGAATAATTCCCATCTTGGCCTAAAATGTTTTAATCTTCCTCCAAATTTACTTACATTTAGTTTCGCCTGGTGGCGGAGGATTTCCAGCTCCAGCTGGAGCTCTTGGGTCTTTGTGTACTTTTTGCCCCTCGTTGGTTCTGATGGTGAGGGGTCTTGTGGTACTGGGACTTCTGTAAAGGGCGATACTGTTGACTTTTTGGTCTGCTCTGACGATAGTCCCTCGAATTTTGTCGAGGCAGACCTTTCCAGTTTAAAGGTTTACTACATGTAGAAGGTGGCTTAAGATCTGCACCCGACTTCTGAAGTGCTTTTTACAAAATAAATAATGTGACTAATATACTAACATTCTAATATAAATACCTGCCGACTCTTCATTTAATAAATTTTTAGAAAGCTCTAACGAGATATTTATTGGAGGTGGTGCAGGAAGTGTATTGAGTGACCCTTCTTCATCACTGCTTTCATAGCACAACCGTTTTGGAGGATGAATAGCCCTCTTACTTAAACACGAATCCTCATCGGCATCTGATTGAACATCAGACTGTAATTCGGCTCTCTTTAGTTTTGACCTTGCTTTCGAGTAATCATCTAAAAAAAATGCATTATGAATAACTAGAATTATAATAATGGACAAAAATACACACCGTTTCGAAGAAGCACCTAGAAACAGGATAAATTTTCCAGTTTGCTTCATTTGGTGTCTCTCCCGTTTTTAATGCTTTTTCGTACACAGATTGAGTTTTGTAGGGTGGCCAGAAGGCATTTTTTTTCTTGGCGTTAACCAGTTTCTGTTAATTATAGCTAAACCGCCCCCACAAGACGCAGAAAACTCCACACCTAAAAACTCCATCTTTTTTATTATGTATGTAACGGAGGACGCTAAGGCTACGTTTCCATGCATACGAAAACCTAATACGCATCCGTGCAATTCTCTGTACAATATCAATAGACCATTTTCATGTACACGTATTTCGTATGCGAAAACTCTACATTCTGACAGATTCTGTCAATTAACATAACCTAAAAAAGGTAAATCAAAACATTTCGTTCTTCACATCAAATTTTACACAACGCCGTGACTCGGGGCCATATATATATATCTCTTATATATATGCTCGGGGCACGTTGCCGGAATTTTTCGACAAACGGGGCACGTTAAATGCGCGCGTTCATACAAATAAAAACATTGAACAGCTGATCATTTTAAAATAAAACCTAACCTAACCATCAAGCTCCCTTTCGTTATCTGAATAAGTTCTCATTTCATATGGTGGGTTAACAACTAATTATCATTATTTAGTAATTACTAATTAGTCACTAACAATCAGAATTTTGCTTTGTTCTTAATATTTCTTTTCATAGTTAAATAAATGCACATGTGCATTATGATCGATTGCCTGATGCTCCTGTATCAATGAAAATGATGAATCCGAAAAGGAAATAAGGAAATGTGTACTTAGGTACTTCCGAAAATAGTTACTATTTCTATTTATACTGATTTTACGTTTTTTAACAATCAGTTCTTAGGGATAGTACGGATATCAAATGATAGGATTCATTGTCTTCTACAATATTGTATTCAAATTTTTTACATCAGATCTGCTAAAACAATATAAGGTAAATGTTTAGATTATAGGGCCATGAACGGATTGCTATAAAACATTTATCCACACTACTAGGTTGTATAAATAATAAAGTTATGAATACATTTATTGGCACATTATAACTTTTAGCACTGGATTCTAGTACTTGGAAAGTGTAGATATGTTTTAGTATTAAATTTCAATACTTCACTTTAGAACATTTTCCGTTAATGAACAGAACTACTACAACTACACTACTAGTACAAATATCTGAATTTTAGTAACTTTTATTAGTTATTTGCTCCAAGAAACGCTCGCATTTTGATAATCAACAATTAGCTACATAACTATGTACGTATTTAAACTTCGAAATCTACCTCAGCCTTACAGTACAGCCAGAGGTTTTCTTGTATTATTTTTTTGTTAAAATGTCATTGGCAATAGTTATTAATTAGATCTGCCTTGAAATTAAACTGTAGAAATTAATATCTTGCTTGGATATCACCTTGACTTCATTTGTTATAAACATTTCATAAAATACCATTAAAAAAAACGATCATAATTTATTGTAACAATATATACAAAACCAGGTTTTGATTCTTGGCAGTTTAGTTAGTGCAGAGCATTCCAAGTGAAACCAAAATAGACAGGATTCACAAACTATTGATGGACGATTTCCTAGTTGCATTGCACATGATCTGCATGTCCAATCTTCCTTGCTTTTCTTATCATTTAACATAAAAGAAAAGTACTCCCAAGCATCAGTGACAAAGTACCTCTTCAGCCGAGCCAAATTGACAGAATCATCTGCAAACATATGGTGTCAAAATAATTTGTATTGTATAGATGTACATCCATTACCTAACACACAATCTGGAATTTCATTCTTTAAATCTTCTACCACCACTTCAAATGACGGATTCAGTAATGTTTCCTCTGTAACTTCAATATCATCATTTATAACATGCCTAAGAATATAACAGTCCTGTGATTCACTTATTTTCAAAGCAAACTTTAATGGAACAATCTTATTCCTTTTTTTCTTCAGACCTATCACAGTTGTGTCATGACCCCGTGGTCTACCACGCTTCTTTATTTTTAAAGGCAGTTCAATATTTATATTTTCTGACAAATTTTCTTTTTCATTCTCCAAAGTAACTTTCCGCTCTTCATATGTGGTTTGCGGTTCAATAGTTATGTTTGGTAAATGACTCTCCCGAGCACTCTCATCTCCCTGTGAATTTACTTCAGTATCCACTGACATAACCAGTTTTTCATTTTCTTCTTCATCAATAAGCGTTTTTCCTGAAATAGTAGCTTTATAATTTGTTCTGTTTACTAGCTAATGGCTTACCTATTTGTGAATCTGAATTAGGAATATCTATGTTTATTTCCTTCCCCGATTTCCAAGCATCATCAATCCTCTTTAGAAAGTTTAACTTATGATTGAATTCGCTGCCACTAGCCATACTAAGCGTGTTTACTAGGGAATTCGCAACAAGAGTGGCAGACTTTCTCTTCTCCGTTATTGTCAATGTTTTCATTTTAGGTTCAGAACGATATACATGATGGTCACCAACTTGTATTGATTCTTGATTGGCAATCCTTTGTTTTGTTAAATAGAAGGAAGTTTTCCAGCGTTCATGAACTAACGATTCTGAATACAATGGCATGTTTTGCTTCACCCTTACTGCAAAAATATATCGGCAAGGTAACATCATAGATAAAAAATCTGAACAAGGACAATATTCATGAGTAACTGATAAGTTGCCTTTCGATGAAGCTATTGTGAATGTTCCTGTCGGTCCTTCAATTCCAACCTTTACATTATCAATGAAATTGATTTGCTCTTGTATAAATTTCATGCTGTAACGGGTAACAACATTTGAGTAACAAAGAATGTCTTTTGAATACCTACTTAGAAATTGCGAACAGTGGTTTCTTTAAAATATGAGTGGCTGCTTTAAAATCCCTTTCTTGTTGATTAGAATTTATAAAAATAAAGAAGTTCTTGACGAACTGCATCAGTGTCGAATTCTTATGCACCACTTGCTTAATTTTTTGATTTATAGATTCCATTCTGTTGTTTGTAGTGTTATTAAAATTACATTGCTTCATATTGAAAATAATCCATTCATTTCTTATCCTGTGCCAATTTTTTTCAAAATATGCTATCACAGATTGTGGAACACACTCTTTGAATTGAGAATATAATAAATCATATTCTGATTCATTTTTACTATATACAAGTTTTTGTACATAATTTAACGATAAATCACGCTCTTCTCTGGAAATATTCATTTTGTCACAAGTCACTTCTCTTCTAAACGTCTTTAGTGTATGGAAGATACAAAGATAAAATGGAGTGTTTGGGAAAAGATCTTTAACAACTTGACGTTCTACTAAATCTTTATCGCCCATGAAAGATTTCACCTTTGTAAAATCAAAATGTTTTTTAAATTGTTCAAATATCCAGTGGTAGGTCTTTTTATCTTCGGTAGAAATAAGTGAGACATTAGCAATTTCTGACTGTCCATTAGAATCTACTACCAGACATAAAAATACAGTGCAACCTATATCAATCAATTTATATGTTCCATCGATACTTATAAATTCTGGCCAAGCATTTAAAGCATTTCTCATATCTTGTGTTGTAAACTGCATTGCTTTGAATTTTTCATCCTCATCACAGAAAATATCAACCATACATCCTATAATCATATATTAAATTTATAAATATTTTTGCATAAAAAATAAATACCATAAGATTTTGTCAACAAAGAAACAACTTCATCTAGATCATTCTTCTCTATCTTTCTTCTATAATTGATATTTTGCAAGTCCTTTAATGTCGTTTTCTTCCCAGTGTCTGCCAGCACTTTACTCTGAATTTTCTTTTTATTTGCATCCAAAGATAAAAAAGTTTGCACAGATTTGAGCTCGTCTTCATTCAATGCGCGAGTCTGAGGTAGATGATCATACACCTTCTGAATAACAAAAATAAAAAATTTAAGCATATCTTCAAGAAATGTGTTCTTAATAGGGGAGACTAGGGAGGGTTGATACACTTAATTTCAAACTATTACAACTGCCACCAGAGTGCGTGTATTCCAATGGTAAAATGCTTTTTTGGAGCTCCATTGTGTTACCTTTCAATGCTCCATTAGTAGCTTGGGTTGCTCTTATACCTTTTGCTGAAAAAAATTGAAAACAAAAAGTACAAAATGTATCGAACCTCCCCTAGTAGAGGAGGTTTGATACCCAAAATGGGAGGTTTGATACACAGCAATAAGTATACAAAATTCAAAAGCAATCGTGCATTTATTTATTTATACTTAATCAACATTATCAAATTTGTCAAAGTTTATTGGAAATTTTAGTTTTCGCGAGGCTCTTGCGGTGCCACCAACGAATGCTGGAGGTGGCAGTTTAATGGTCTCACTTTCAGATGCTATTGACTGGTCTGGAACATCAGGATAGACAAAATGATAGTTGGGTTTCTTCCTTCTCATGAAGTTGATCAGATAACCTTCATCGTGTACTTCCAAAACCTTCCCGGCATAGTGCCTTACAATTTTTTTTGTAGCAAAGCGAACTAACACATAATCCCCAACTGAGATTGGTCCTGCTATGAAGTTATCTTCGGTCTTCTCATTTTCTATACATTCTTCGATATCTGTACAATCTTCTGAGGAGGAGCTCATTATAACACTATCGGTGTCAGTTTCTTCCTCGATGTTTTTCAGTTTTATCTGCTTAGAGGGACCTGCCCGACTCTTTTTTTGGATATTGAGATTGCGTTTACAACCCTCTGAATTTCTTTCCTTGTTTTTTTTTTCGTGGTATAATTTTATTTCGTTCATATTAGGGGTATCTGTGAGAATTTTTGTTTTAGTGGGTTTTCTGCTTGATACAGTTTTCCTAGGTGGAGCAAGTGGAAAGGGTCTAATCTCTTCTGGACTCTTCACCACATTAATTATGTCGTTTAGAACATTATCTTGTTGTACTGCTATTGTAGGAGGTGGTGTTTGCTCTTTAGCGGTTTGGTTTGAAGAATTGGGACGATCTGTAACCTTTGAGGAGCAGAAATCTTCTTCGGAAAATATTTGTGAATTAAACGGAGAGATTCCGGTGGCAGAAAACCCTTTAACGATGTTAACTGGAGTAAAAGCACGTTGATATGCCACTTCAACTAATTTCGCTATATTCTTTAAAGAGATAATTTGTCCAGGATTTTGAATCATGAAATCATCACATGCTTGGTTGTAAAAAGTTTTAAAAGGACCGTACACAGATACATCGAGAGGTTGGAGGCGGTGGCTAGTATGTGGTGGAATAGTAAGAAGAACAATTCCATTCTCCTTACAGATATCGAGACCCTTCGGTGACAAATGACTATTGTGGTTATCGAGAATTAATAGGACCTTATCGGCTATGCTACATTTTGTAAATTTTATAAAATGTTGTAAGTAAACTTCAAAATTTAGCGCAGTCATCCATCCACTTGGATGCGTAGCAGCTCTTGATCCAGGTGGAGCACAAGCGGTCATGTAATCTTGTTCACGCACTCTTGGATATATAAAAAATGGTGGTATGGATCCACCAATCGCGTTGATTGTACATAAAATAGTTACAGTTTGGCCCCGTTCGCCTGATGTCACTTTAGCAACTTGTTTTTGACCTTTCTTTGATATTATTTTTCTAGGTTTATGGACGGTTTGAACACCTGTTTCGTCACAATTGTATATCGATCCAGGCCCGAACTCCTCTCTTGCAAGTATTGTTCCTAACAAGTTAAAAAACTCACCAACGGTATGCTTATTGAACGCAGTTCCTCTGGAGAGACTAGTTGGTTCCGGAGTCCGTAATGATAAGGTATTGTTACGATTCATAAAACCACGTAGCCATTCATAAGTTGCACTTTCCTTCTTAATCCAATTCTCAGGAACTTTTTTGTTGTTTTCGACTGCATACAAATAAGCAAATTTTCTAGTTTCCTTAGAAGTGAAGCCATAATTCATTTGTGCAGCGTTGAGTAGATATTTAGCAAGCATTTCTTCCTCGCACCTACTAAAAATTTGAGAAGATGAAAAGTTGGGTACAAATTCCGTGACTGCCCCTTTTTCTCTGTATTTGAGTACATATCGTCGTAAGGTCATTTTGTCAATATTATATTTGTTAGCTGTTGTTCGAAGCTTGCTACCCTCAATTACTTCTAACACCGCATTCTTCATTGAATCAGGAGAAACAGATAGCCGATTCGACTTTTTCTTCCATTTAAAAGGCATTTCTGTAGAAACAATTCCATATTACAATAAAATATTCTCATGTGGGGAGGATTGACACATGTATCAAACCTCCTCGGCTAAAATGTATCAACCCTCCCAGAATTACCTCCAATACGAAAAAAAATTAATTCAAAAACATAACCTAAGTCGTTACGCGAACACCTTGACACAATTTACTCGCTACAAGATGCAGTTTTCAGGCAACAGTCGCCCAATTTGATATGGATGTTAGATTTTGAGATATATCCTTACACTTACCTTACACGGAATAATAACACAAATGCACAAAAACGTTAATACACTCTAGCACGCCTACTAACAGGAATAACTGAAATGTAGCACGATTAACCTATTGCCAGTAATGGCGGGGTTAAATGTTGCCAACTTCAACACCTTACGATATGAAGTGTGGGAAATTTGAATGTGTATCAAGCCTCCCAGGGTATCAAACCTCCCTAGTCTCCCTACATCGCAAAGTTGACAATTTCCTATTATCCACTGACATTTTAAACTGCCTTTAAGTTTAATTCAAACTCGTTTGTTAAGTTATCTATAAAATTCATTGTTTCTTATAAAGTCCGTCGTCAACGGCAACGTCCTTTGTACATTACACTACCCTATACGCTGCTTAATTTTTCATACCTAATGTTGTTGATTCTATTACCATGGTTGCTACCTACGCCAGCCTTGAGAAACATTTTTCCCTCATGATAATAAATAATAAAAGATGAATTCGGATAGATATGCTTCACGGCCGGTAGTGTTATAAATTCTTGAAGATAACACGGTGGAAACTATTGGTGGGATACACTGTTTTAATCGATAACAAAAAATGCTCTAATAATAAACTCGAGAACGCAAAAAGTGATCACACTCATTTTCCTATGATAGGTTATTTATGTTTTCTTGTTTATCGTTTGTAGGTGAGAGGGCCCAAAGTTACAATCGATAAATAATCAGCACTCTTAAAGATACGGGAAATACACGCTTAGCTGTTTTCAATCTAAGGTATAATCTGTTCTGAACTATCGGTATTCCAATCTCTATAAACGATAGTGAAACAAAAGTCGAACCAACCCAACTGGAGATTAATGTTTCAATACTAGCACTGAATAAGTAATAATTACTTATTCAATGATACTACGTAGTACTGTACATTTTTTATCGGAGAGATTTTATGGAACAGAAATTAGTATCCTGGCCGATACAATACTTGTACACCTAAACTGCGAGTTGCACATAACAAGTTGTAATGGCCTTCCGACTGAATCCACCTACCACCCCGTGAATTAATCTTGTGGTTGTAATTTTTGGACAGGGTTTAAATACCCCTAGAAGGAAAACCCGTGTAATCTTACTAACTGTAGGCATCTATAATCAGTTCGTGTTCAACCATAAGGAATCAAGATTAATGTGGTTATTAAAATATTTGGTTGTAATAAATGACATCTTCAACTGTGTTGTGGCGTTTGTAAGGATAATTCAGATAGTGAAACATAAAGGAATCGATCACTATTAAGCAGAAATGTCAGATGTGACAAATATTGTAATTCATTTCTTCTGTCATTTAAAATTACTGCAACACCACCTTTCCATGTAGCTCTTCATTCATAATCAGTTCACCTAAATCACCAATCATTCCCATATACTCCGATTTACCAGTCGTGACATTGAGAATCTTGCGGATGTGTGCTAAAGATAGGTAATATAGCAGGAATACGTTTATTGGCCACCTACGTTGAGGTTCCAAATTGTTTGCGACTTTAATTCTCTTAGGGGGCTCCATTGCTTGAGGGTTAATCACGACAGGATCCCTATGAGCATACCTTTGCGATGTCAGGGGAATGTCCCAGTCGTCCGGTAGTCTAAACATGTTTTTCTTCCGAAGTTCCTCTTTGTACGCATTATCCTTCTCTGAAAAGTCCAAGTAATACCCACCCATTTCCATTTCTTCTTACCCAAATCGCAATAGTCAATTTGGTAAACTGTCCTCCCGTTATAAATAAACGTCTTAGTCATAACTTCGTTATTAATCGGTTCCTTAAAATGCATTCGTGCAAGCTTTGGGTGATTTTCTTCGTGCTGGAATTGAAAGTAATTACTTAAGTTTGAGAGGTTCCTAAAGTACCAAGTGTAGATAGGTGTCGGCGTCTACAACCGGCGGTTCGGGGGATGTTGGATCGCTGCTGAGCTGCAAGTAATTCTTGAAGGATTCTCCCAGGGGATCACTAAACTCTTGCGTCCCCTTCACAACATCTCTGTGAAGTGGTAGCTGTGAAACCTTGTTTAATGTTATGCTTACGTTTTCACCCGTTTCGGGTAGAAATCTCTTCTATACGTAGTTAAAAAGGGGTCCATAGCAAATTAATCAGAATTTGTCAAAATAATTTAGTGAAAGTACATAATTGGTTACTAGATTTATCTTATGTAAGATCACAGATATACACATACAGTATAACCTTCCTTTTTTACAAAAAATCGACTACAACAAAATTTCTCGGGAAAACACTTTTTCTTATTAATTTTGGTGCGTAGAATCGAAAACGATTCGTACTTTTTTGATTAGACAATCAAAAGTTATGGACTAAAAACCAATTTCGAAAGAAAATTTAAAGGGCTGTAACTTTTGATCTAGTAGCCCAATCTTGGAACTGTCTGAAATTATGGAATCTACAGCCCATATTCTATAAGAAAATGTTTTTTTTCCGGTCGATCTGAGACAATTTTTTTCTTCCGGCCTCAAAAAAAGGCAGTGTATAACCTTCCTTTTTTACAAAAAATCGACTACACCAAAATTTCTCGGGAAAACACTTTTTCTTATTAATTTCGGGGCGTAGAATCCAAAACAATTCGTACTTTTCCGATTAGACTTCTCAACCAAAAGTTATACACTAGAAACCAAATTCGAAAGAAAATTCAAAGGGCTGTAACTTTTGAACTGGTAGCCCAATAATTACATTCTATAAGACAAATTTTTTTCCCGGTCGATCTGGAAAAATTTTCTTTCGGGCCTCAAAAAAAGGCGGTGTATAACATACAACAGATTGCTAACCTTATGTATTTTATGGGTAACACATTTAGGTATACTTAAAAGCGCCTTATATTGACCAGCAGTTTATACACGCACAAAAAACGAAATTTTGCAAAAACGTTTTTATTTTTTACCGAAGTTATTTAAAAAGGTATTTCAAAATATTTTAAAAAAATTTTTCCCTTTAAATTTTATATCGGACGTTTCGTCTCCGGCTAACCATCATCAACTTTGCTTTTTGTGAGCATTTTTTCTGATTTTAAAATATAAACATCAATATTTTTTAAATATTATTAAAATATCTTCTTTTTTGCCTTGCAAACTTTGTCTTGAGTAGTGCATGTTTGTAGTTTTTTGCGTGTTGCGTTTGCGAATTACCAGCGCCATTTCTTATTAAAAAATAGTGATATTTACATTTTTGAAATAAAAAATAAAAATATGCTCTATCAAATGACACGAAAAGTATGAATGACATCCATAAGAAAAAAACAAAGTTGATGCTGGTTAACCGGAAAAGAAACGTCAGACTTAAAATTAGCATCTTGTAGAGGGAAAAAAGTGGCCATAGTTTGTGGGCTTCAAAACGTTCATAAAACGCAATATTGGCATAATGGAAAAATTAAACACGAGTGAATTCATGCTTAAAATACGCCGAGAATACATTTACTGCGAGTGTGCTGTGTGTGCGTGTATAATATCTGGTTAATATTTTAATGCCAATCTAATTGGTAATGATTTCACAAAAAATACAATGATCAGAAAAATTAATATATCTCGTTAGAAAAATATCGTACCTCAAATTTGGCGCAAGAAAGAAAGACTAATAAGAAAAATGAAAGGGGAGGATTTTTGTATTGCAAACAAGCATAAAGAATCGGGCGCAATCCATGAGATTTTAGCGCATTTTTCAAAAAAGGTTCTTCATTACGTGCGTCAGTGTGAGGGATGAGATCTCGACACAAGAAAAGCTAGAAGCTGGTTGATGACTCGTCATTAGATATAGTGCAGCGAGTTTTTTCCCCTAATAATTTCGGGATGATGTCCAAACTTTTAATTATTCACTAATTTCATCGGGGAAACTGCAAAACATATTACTTTGATCGAGACTTTGATGCACAGGAACTAAATGATGTGGTCTTCCTGTCATACTGTCATTTTGGGTAAGTTGGCAAACGTTTATGTATACGTTAATCAGATTGGGAACGCAGAAAACAAATCACAATGTACGTTCGTAATAGGAAGATTATCAATTAGTCGGTCGATTCCTTGATCGTAAACCTTATGGGATGATATCGTTGCTTTTAGAGAGGTGAAGTGGGTGTTGAAGGAAGGAATTGATTTGTGACAACTTCTTAAAACTTATTTTTTATGTTCTCTCAAATTTTCACATGGATCTCCTCTCCTGAAGTCAATGTTTCATTAACTTAATAGTAATAGGTGGATTTTTAAACTTTGCTTCTTAAGTTATTTTTTTTATCCGCTCGCTGAAAGGCTCTCACGAATAAATCCAAAAATTTGAGTAACAAACACGTCAAACCTGGAAACCAAGTAAGATAATCGGTGATTAACGAAATTCGATAAGATTCCGCCTCTTGAACATGCTATAAAAGCGTGGCGTTTTCGTCGTGATGTGTATACAGAATTCAAAATGATTAAGCTACTGATGGTGACTGTTCTACTGATGGTATTATTTGGCATGGTAGCAGGAAATTGCGACGGCACCTGTCGTTGCACTCCCGACTTGTGTAATGCAGATGAATCATACTGGTAAGCACTTCTGCTCTAGTCTTAACTATTTTTGGCACTTCGTCTCGTACCATAAAATGGAATTCACAATACGGTCACTATTTCCACTGGTACAAATTGTTGAGTAATTTAATTGACATTATCCCCTCTTGTTTTTCAGTGGAAAATGCGACGCTTTATGGGAATCCGAGAAGGAGACAAAATGCTGCAAGTAAGACATGAAGATATTGAAATAAGTACCGCCTGACGTACAAAATAAGCTTGTGTTAGTTATAGTTTCGATGTAAAATAATTAAATAAATCACAAATACCAAATTTTATTGTTTTGATTATTCGTGGGATTCAGAGTCGAGCAAAAAACAGGTCCCAGTAATATTTGAAGTCCTCATTTGAAGTGAAGTGAAGCTAAAAAACAATCGTAGCAAATAGATCGCATAGCATTTCCCCTTCGAGGGGAAAACACATTTGCTTAGCCCTAAAAAGTACACTGTGCCACAGTTTCACAAAATGCGGATACTAAAAGACTACGACATCTTTATGTTGTTTCCATGAGCTTCAACTGATCTTTCAGAACGTGATGCATCTTCAAGATCGAAATTGCCGAAACGAAATTTTGCAAACCAATTTTGGCATTGTCGTTTGGTCAATCCATCTTATCCATACATATCACGCAATTTTCGCCTTGCTTGAACTGTACTTTTACCTTTGAAACAGTAAAATGCTAATTTCGATTTTTCATCTTTGATAGGGCGCCAAACAAAAACTATTGTAAAGAATCATAGACAATTTTTAATAAACAAGTCTTACTACGTCAGCTAATATACAGTGAATTTTTTTTAAATGCGAACATAGGAGTTTCCATGCAATGTAATTTCCCTATGTTCGATTTTAAAAAAAACACATCAATCTATTGAGTAGTTCAAATGAGTAGTAGATACAATTGACAGCTGTCACATTTTTAAAAATACCGCCGTCCAATTTAATTACGAAATCGGTTAGGTTATTGCTTAGAATGTCAAGGAGGACACTTCGAACATTTATTGTAATTGTTTGCGTTATTTATTTTCTTATTTTCTTCATTTATGTATTGAATAGATCAAATTAGTAGAATACCAGGTGCACATGACCTACAAATAATTGAAGGTTGGTTCACAATGAATTGTGATGTCAGCGCGTGCCATATGTGAAGTCAAGTTATCGTAAGTTTAAGAAAAATGTATCCTAAAGTTGCTATGGCCTCACATGGCTTCTTTAAAAAATCTTACCGAGTGCTTTTCATCATAAAAACTGTAGAGTTGCTGTTCATAGTCACACAAGTTGAGCGTTTTGGGAATGTGAACCGCGCACACCTCATAGATTGATGTGTTTTTTTAAAAATCGAACATAGGGAAATTACATTGCATGCAAACTCCTATGTTCGCATTTAAAAAAAATTCACTGTATAATGATTATGCGGCTTAAGTGTAAAGTTAGTTGTGAAGCCCTCGCCATTTATCATAACAAAGAATTCAATAGTTATTATAGAAGCAGCTTATCATCTCCATGGAGATAAAAATCATGTGCTTTTGTTTGTTACTTTCATTTATTTTTACATTTTTGACACGTTTTGTTATTACGAGTAGAGCTGAGTTTTATAAAAGATTAGATTTGACGAATCATTTTATTATAAATGTGCAAAATACCGATCAAGACAATAAGGAGAACTACGTCTTACTGTAACTCCAAGAGCACTTTTGAAGTACTATTTGATACTATGAGTACAGCTCACTTGATAAAAGATTAGATTTCTCCAAAGGTGTTGTCGTTTTAGATATGGAAAATATAGACCCAGATATTCAAAAAAGGTAGGTACGTTTTACTGTAACTCAAAAGGCATAAACCCAATGCTGGTATTGGAACCTGGATAGATTAATGATAAAAACATCAGAGAGTGAACCTGCGGTTGGTGAAGTCGAAGAAGCCGAAAAACATAAAATGATTGAAGAAGACTGAAAATGCTGCAACTCAAAGAACGGGAGAAAGGCTAAAAGTCGAGAAATGCCGAAGTAGTCGTAGAAAATCGAAGAAATTTAAGAAGCCGAAGATTTTAATTGTCAACATGCAGTATATCCATCACTATATTTGTGTAGGTAGTTAAAGTTCTCATGTCACAAAGATCCGCTTGTCTCAGTTCATACTTGGACACAATGTACTTGTTTCTAAGAAATTTCTTTTTGATTCCTTACGGACATCCTGTTTGTATACCACGCCTTTAAATCATTATTTTTCATTGCAGTTATTAAAGATTATTTTAGAAATACCTATTAATTGAACACAATAATAAATTGTAACAACTCGTTCTGAAGGGATATGGGATGAGTTCATTCTCCGTAACGTCGCGACTTCTTCACGATTCTTCCTTGACGTGTTTTAACGGCTCGTGTGTCTGTAACTGTTTGTTAAAATTACTGGTTCAGTACAAACTGGTAGGTACCTCATTCACAGCAAAAAGTTCGGATCATTTAATGCAATAGTTTAGCCATAATATGGAAAAAGTAGAAATAGAACAGTTTTTTGTTACTTTGACACACTTGGGCATACCCGATTCTGTCCAAAAGCTTTTCCTTTCATATTTAAGAATACAACAAACAGACCGACTTCATCGTGATTTTGTTCCATTTGAATTCTTGGTAGGTACTTCAAAACGTGTATTTGGGTAAAAAAAGTGGAGGGTAATTTTTACCACATTAATATAGACCACGCTTTACAAACGTGCGTGTGATAAAAAGTGAGGTTCGCGGCATCTCGAGTTAGCACTTCATTAAGCGTATGGTTGGTTACCGAAATAGCATTATTTTTCAGCAAAGACTGTAAAACAGTACTTATTATACGTACAAGCTTCTTAGGTCTGCAGAAAGAATGTATTACAATGAATCTAAATCCTAATAGCATAGGAACAACAATGGCGTAGGAAACAACAAGGTAAAGGTGTATGAAGTTCGCTGAATGTTTTCTGGGAGAAGCTGTAATATTACAATTAATGATACGTGTGAAAGGGGATTATATAGTTTTACGCATAAACTGTCATTTTTTGTGATAGAAGCAGAAGAGCTGCATACTATCTAATTGTTTGTAAAATTGTAGAGCAAGCTTTCCGGAAGGACAATACAGTCGGTATTAATGTGACCAGCATGTTGGCGCCCTTCGGTCGAGGAGCTGCAAATCGTGTGGTTGCATATTCTCCAAAAAAAATCAATTCTCCAAAACAAATCAAGTCTTATAAACGTGAAGATGAAAAAAATATTATATCAAAAGTATATTGGTGCTACATTCTGATATCACAAATTAAGAAACAAAATCGTTAACCGCTAGCTAAATAAATTTGTATATTTACAAATTTTCTCTAGCACATAACATTTAACATCAATACAAGAATCAAGTCGTAGATTTTATGCTTTGGAAAAATCCAAATTGCCACACGGGCGAAGCAAAATATCTTATGTTTTAACTCCTTATCAATAAAGTACGTATTACTTTGAAGGTACACTGGAAATGAGCTCTCTTCGTTTATAAACGACTCCAGCTTGCGTCGAACCGCTCTCCTTACTTTGGCCATTACTAGTGACTTCGAGAGATTCGGAGTCCGGTATGTGTCTGGTGAGGTGCTTACTATCTGTATATCTACGTTTCGTATACTTTTTCTTATCCGAATTTGTGGAAGTGGTACTTTTGGGCTTTGCATCATTCTTTGAGATCCTTTCGAAATCCGCAGTTCTCGAACGGAGAACGGCGTTACCTATACTTGATATTGTCGGATTAAATGTCGGTTCCGCGTTTTTCACTTGTGGCATTATCGGTTTCGGAATCTCAGACTTGATGGGGATAGTCGGTCGCGCCTGTCTCAGTTCGGGCGTGGACATAAACGTCACTTTTTGCGCAGTAGTTGGATCTTTAACTGCCTTTTTGTTGGTGGAGGTTTTCATCGTTGCTTGTTTCAAAGTGGTTACATCTTCAGGGATGTAGTTCACTGAGATGCGCGTGTTGTCTGGAGAACCCGGAGGCGATGACGTCCACGAGAGAGGTGATCCTATATCTCCAATGCCACTGCTTACGCTAGAGGTGGTTGTTGTCTGTGGCGGGCTTCCGATCGGGGAATCGTAACCTTGAATGATGGAAATGCTGCCGGTAATTGGGTGAACTGTGCCACCTGACGATTCTGAGTTGTGTCTTCTTCTTGGGAGTTCAGGCTTAGACTGTCGCCCGCTATCTAAAACGTAAGCGTATCCACTTGTATCTTCTATGTATGGAATGTCCTTGTGGTCTACATTAAGAACTAATGACTGATTTCCTGTTGTCTGCACTGGTATGGTAAGACTAGCTTTAATAACACCTCGAGAATCCACCATATATGGCGTGGATCTCCGCCTGTCGATTATAGATCCGTCTGTGCTACGAATACGATCTTCGCCTGGATAAGAACTGTTACTGTCAAGTGATGGTGATCTTAGCTTAGACATTTGATTGGCGTCGTCATCTTTCTGCCCTCGTAATCGAGATATGATGTTAATTGAGGAAACTGCGGTATCTTCTTCTTTTCGTCTTCCGCTAACCGAGTCATCTCGTTTTTTCCTAGCCGCTCTCTCTCTAAAACGATCCTTGCTGTTCCTGAAACGAAACGCAATTGACTACTGAAGGGTGCCCATAAAAGTTAAGTACCTGAATCTGGCAACCAGGTTAGGCCCACCAGTGGCCGCTGCTTCGTGCAGAAATTCCTCCCGAGACCAAGTTCGTCGTGGTTCCGGAGGCGTGTTGCAACTATCTGAGTCTGTGTGCGTAACGTGTTCGATTGCAATGTGAGAAGTGGGGGCCGTTGGGGTTAATGGAGCTGAATTACTTTCGCTGTCTAAATCATCGGCATAACTGCAATTTATTCATTAGGCTGATACCGAGGGTGATAGAAAATTGCACTTACTCATCTCCGCTACCGATCGCCTTTCTGTACAGCAGTTGATCCAAAACCTCGGGATGGGATTCTAGTAGGTAAACGTATACATCATTTAGTAATTCGGCTGGTACATTAAACAACGCCCTATTATTGTCTATTAACGTACGAACGACGTTTATTACATCTATGTGATCCTCAGGACGCTCAGTTGACTCTTTTGCGCCTTGTTTATTGCAATGGAGAATGTTGGGGGCGAACACTGTGGCTAAGTTATTTGAATCCATTTTATTACCACCGAGAATCTCGCCTAGAACGAGACGCTGAAAAGGACATTATCACATCCGAACAGAGTACCTACCTGCAGCATCCGTTCTAGGTTCGGCGGTTCTAGCGACGTTAGTAAGAAACGTCAGTAATGTGCACAATGTGTCACTGTGCGAAATAGGCAGCAACTGCACTAAACGCTGCAACGCTTCAATCTGCAATGCCCTGTTACGGACACCTAAAAATCGACTTAAAATCGAGTGAAAAAACCAGGGGTCATACGTTGGGTTTTGACAAACGCGTGGTATAAATCTCGACAAAGTAGTGGATCTGGAAGGTCCCTTAAAAACTCCTTCAATAACGTGGCGACGTCGTGTGGACATTGGTCGTTTCCTATCGTCGACTCCTTGCCGCAGTCGAAATCTTCTCGCAACTGAAGGCAGCACAATTAGAAAGGCGGACGAAACCTACCCGATTCTCTTACCTGCCTAACTCTCTTCTTCGACGGGCTCACCCTGAATATTCCAACTGTTTGTAAACCATTAGCTTCTAAGTGTCTAACGCATTCAGTTAAGATATTCGGCACGGCCGGCTCATCTTCATTGGAAGCTGCCAGGATATCAGCTGTCGACCCATATGAAGAGATGCTATCTAGAAGCCCGGGGACGCTTCCCATCATCCTTTTTTCGTGCAACAGCAAGTTTTCTCTTGAACCAATCTAATAAATTGAAAAATTAGTTTGCCAATGCACTAATTAATGTCAAAACATAGCAGTCAGTTGATATCCTTAGCGTGTACTTATTTCTATTTAAATTCTGTGCCAAATAAATGACGTCAATGCTTGATGCAACACATTGATGACGTAAATGAGAAATTAAGACAACCACTCTTACCAATGCCAAACGTGCTAGCGATGACAATACGAAAATAGTCAGTAAATCGTATTTTTTACGGTTTCCGCGTTTCTAATTATCGTAAAATTTTAATTTTTACGTTCGGTTTATTAGCAATATATACATTTGTTTTGAGTTTAACAGCGAGCAGTCGAGACAAATTGCCTTTAAAAAAAGCTATAAAATCTCCAAACACCATCTTGTGAACTTTCAAAGCGAATTTAAAAGCGGAGCGATCGTTTAATTTCACTTCCTGGTTTGAGTGTAGCAATCAATATATTGGATAATTTGGAAACTAACCTCGTCATCTTTGGTGGTATCGACCAGCGACGTGCAACTTGCTCTGCTATTGTTTCGCCTCAAATTTGATTCATCACCGGATAAATCTCGACTAGTGGCCGCCGTTGAGCTTCGGGATAGTCTGTCGTTGTCCACGCACTGAGTTAAGGGGATTCCAAATACTAAACCGGTTGAGGTTCCATCTGAAAGAAGGATTTATTTGAGACTTTATCAAAGACGTCCTATTGGTCAGCTTATATTCTATTTCCATTTCCTTCTTATAGAAATACTATTGATGGCATGTCAAATACCTTGCAGTGTGTAATGTATTGTTGTATACCCGTCATATGGTCACTATTTAATAATCGAGGGGTCATGCGAAACCTGTCACCGTAGTAATAAAATAAATAAATAAAAATAAAAAGATCTGGTCATAGATCGATTGAGTGTTTTATCTGTGATCCGGAAGACTGAGGTTCAGATGCACAAATACTCCGGCGTTAACACGGGATTATTTTTCATCCGAGGCTTTTGATTGGCTTACAAAATGAAAGTATTTACACCCTGATAGAACAATGTCAAAGATATACTCCCTAATCATGAGCCTTACCACCAGGAAGCCGCATCAAATATGTAGGTGCAACCGACCCTGAATGTTTTTATACAAATCAACCCTGTGATGTATCAGAAACATAAAACTTAACGTGCAGGTTATCTGCCTAAAAACGTTATTTAGCGTTATCTGTAACGTTTTCTACACACAACCTGCACGTTAAGTTTAACGTCAGTGATACATCACAGGACTGAATATTATGGTGAAATATGATTAATTTTATCTTTGTTAAAGTTTTTGTTAGCTAAATTTAGGTCTGTGAAGTTTTTAGCACCGATTCATAACTGTCCCAGCATCAAGTCCCAAATAAAAAAGCCTGGGATATAGAAAAAAGAACCACGAAGTAGTAATTTATTGTATAGCAATCGATTTCGATACGGGCACTGTACCTTCAGGCTTAGCTAAAAACATACAAGTTATATCTTGGATATATGGACAATGTTCTTTACCGTAATGTTTTTAATTTAATTTGAATCTGGAGCACGGAATTAGTTTATTTTACCGGAATTTGCTATTTTGGTGTCCATTTTACCTTTTAAATTGTTTAATTTTCTATTCAAACTTTATCCGTTGTGTAAATTTGTTTATTTAAAATTATAAGATGTAGGATTACGTGTTAGAATGTTAAACATCTGGTCGTTTTGCCATAAGGAATGTTATAGGAGATAATTTAACTTATATCTTGCAAAAGTATCTCTGCAGCAGCCTTGACCACCCCCCAAAGGACTGTTTGGTGGCTGCGGCCGCGGCCATTCTCACAAAACGTTATCTTGTCACCAAAGCGTTTCTGAAGGTGACTTTTGATGGTTCTGACATCACGTTTGTAATCGACTTTGATGTGGTCATGTTGGGCAATGCAATGTTTTGCTGTGGCATAATACTATAAAATATTAAGCAAATCCTGCTACTTTTTGAACTTAATAAATGTTTCAAATCGTAATGTGCTGAGGTACATACAGGGTGACAATTTGAAAACTTACCACCCCCCATATCTTAGTAAATGAACAAAATATTTAAAAAAATCAAAATCCGTTTCGGTAATTCGGAGGGGGAATCACAATTACATAGTTGGCGACGCACCCCCTCACACCCCTTGCGCCCCAGCCACCCCAACTTTTAAATGTTAAATAGTGACCCCCCATGTGTGATACGTCCTTGGAAAGCTCTGAAAAAATGCTTTCCAACCATACCAATAGCATTACATTTAGTTTAGTAATTATCATGCAAATCAAAAAATAAACTAATATGATACATTTTCTAAAGTTGGCTTTTATTTCAATAAATGTTCAAAATGGTTTCCGTTCTTGGTAAGACAGTATTACTATGCGATCAAAAATGAGTTGCTGTCGAGTCGCCCTTTGAAATTTTTGTTTACATGGAAAATCGTATTTAACTTGAACTTCCAAAGCCGAGTCGACAGCAACTCATTTTTGATCGCCAGTTATAATCTATTCTCAGACTCTTGTCGAACCTTTTCAAATGTTGGTTTTGCAATATTTCGACATTCTTGAATTATTCTCGAGATTATTCTCTGTCTTAGTTCGTCTATTTTCGCCGTTTGCGTTTGAAATACGACAGATTTCAAATGTATCATATTAGTTTATTTTTTGATTTGCACGATAATTACTAACCTAAATGTAATGCTATTTGGTACGGTTTGAAAGTATTTTTTCAGAGCTTTCCAACGACGTATCACACATAGGGGGTCACTATTTAAGATTTAAAAGTTGGGGTGGCTGGGGCGCAGGGGGTTGGAGGGGGTGCGTCGCCAACTATGTCATTGTGACTCCCCCTCCGAATTACTGAAACGGATTTTGATTTTTTTTAATATCTCGTTTATTTACTAAGATATGGGGGGTGGTAAGTTTTCAAATTGTCACCCTGTATATAACCATTTTTGAATTCTTATCATCACTTCTTTGAATACAAGCAAGGATCGAAACAAACATAATGCTGCTCATTTATTTACTATAATCGAAATTGTAGCCGATGTCCCGGACTAGATTCTCCAAAGCTGTCAATGTTTTCGTAACGAACCCATAATTTTTTAAAATGTCAAATCGGATAATGAGCGAAATGAAAAATCGCAAAAAGATTTAACTTTGGCACGTACTCACACGCACTAATTTATACTTCACAATGTAATGATACATCAATTGACGTAATAGTGCCGAAAATTGGTGCAAGGCTTGTAGATCCTTGATTCATAATAGCGCACCTAACTGTATTAAGGTCGAATCGTCACGTTTCGGCTACAAGTTTATTACTTTATTTATAAAACTGTCGCATTGTGTTCCTGTATGCGCTAAAAGTGAAGCAGATTCCGCATTATCGAGAAATGGAAGGCGAAAATAACAAAAGAATTCGCCAAAAATCACACGAATAAATTGATGCGGGCGAGTTTCTTAAAAACGAATTCTAAATTTGCGAACAATTTTACTATTTTTACAATTTAAGGTTGTCTTAAGGCTAAAATTAAAAGCGCTCCATTTTATTTTTGTCTGTAAACACACTTAAAACTTCGGATTATTCATTCATTATGGCTGCTTATAGACAGTTTCATTACGCAGCCAATAAAATCCGAGCACAAAAAATAACCTTCTTATAAAACAAACTGGAAGATAAAAATAACAAAAAAATTATAAATATAAAGCGCATACTTGAACGTGCATAAAATGAAAGTGGTGCTCACGTATAGTGAGAATGACAACCTTTGGCTTCATTACTTGCAATAATTCATCGAGTTTCACATATCTGTCAAAATACCAAGTTTATATGCATTAATGAAAATTTCCATGAAAACGTCTTTGCCAGACATTAGGGATCCTGCAAGAACATAACATTGCAAAAAGCAGTGGGTGAAAGAGCTACGTAACAAAGAAACTCAAACGTACAACAAACCTTTATCCTTGTCGCCTTCCTTTCGATTCGCGTCAAAAAATCCAGTAGTCAACGCTTTCCTTTTGAGAAGGTAGGCCCTTCGTTTGGGTTTTTGAGGGGCGGTGGCAGCTGCGTCTGCAACAGCAAATTTGAACACAAATCTCCCTCTGAAACCTAATCACCTGTTGGAATTTTCACGTTAACCCCCAGATTTAACGCTTGCAGTTTCGCCAAGGCAACTTTCTGCAGAACCTTCCGCTCGATGTCGGTTAATTGCAATAAAGTGGTATCGCCCAAAATTACTTGCCTTCCAGTTGTGCTGTTCCAAACGCACCCGCCCTGGAAGAAAGACCGGCATGTTAAAGTCACGTTCGATTTCAATTGCCAACAAACATATTTTGGACAATAATATATTGGCATTCAAGAGTGAAGCCAGCAACTTGTTTGATTGAAAAAATATTTATACAACAAAAAATGTTATTCATCACCTACTTAACGACATTTTCCGAAAATTTCGGTAGTTATGTTAAATATTTTCGCGTCCTTTCATCTTTCGAATTTTGAATTGACTTCGCATATCATCACGTTTATTTTAATAAAAATTTCCATTAAAATTTTGAGCGTCATTGCCATATATTAGAAAAAAAATTAAAATTAGTATGAGTAATCATGGCATTTTATATGCTCTAAAAGTATGCAAAGGTTGGTATAGAAGCGAGTATTACTCATACATTGATAGAAAACATCTGCTGAAATAATTGATTTTTGATTTGAAAAAAAAATGTTTGAGTTCTGGTATTTTTAGTGTTACAGTTTCGTACTAGAACTTAATTTCGAAATATTTACAATGCGTTCTCCGGTTTGAAACATCTGGAGATTCAGGGCAGAAATTTAAACATCCCAAACCACGTTTTTTTAAAACAATTTATTCGCAAAAGTCTTCGTTGCGTGCTTGAAATTGAATGGCGATTTCGGGAAAATTATATTACATACTTATCCCTACTGGTAGAGGCTGTTTTTAGCACACCTTTTATTGGTTGGATATTGATAGTGCGTCATATGACACGCAAAATTATCGCTTAGCAACAGGTCTATTTAACAGTACCTACTGTTAATCGGTCTATATAAACAGAACTGTTCCCGTTAAGCAAACCTGATGTGTAATCAAAAACGCAGCAAATCTGTACTAGAATCGGCCACTCTCTACTACTATCCCGATTTGCAATTCTGTAATCAGTAGCCTTTAAAATTTAAATAATAGTTTAATTAGCAAAAGTAATTTTTTAAGGGTTCATTAAAAAACCAAACATAAGTAATATAATCCGAGTAGTTGAATATTCAAATTGCGTCACAATTCGCTCCCGTTTTTGACTTCTCTTGATTTGAAAAAGTCTTTTTAATTTAATTCATCAATATTTCATAAAATTTGATATCAACATGCATTTTTTCCGGGTGAGAATTTTCCGAGAGCGCATTGTTCTGGAAGCGAATTATCAGCGAGCGAATTAACCGGGCGCGAATTCTCCTGGGGGCGAATTATCCGGATTCACATTACCCTACAATGTGACAATATCATCATACAATTGTCAGAAATACATTGCTTTTGCAATAAAATAAAGTTTTATAATATTTTACACGACGATAAAGGGAAACTAACCATCTCGTGACAGTTAATAATTAACATCTTTCACTAATGCCCGTTTGCACCGATAAATTTAAACGGAGCTTGGCTTAATCCATGGCAACGATTAAGGCGACAATGGTTTTCATGGATTTTAAGCTACGCAAAGCTAATAAACGCACCCTTTTAAACAACAAACAACTTCATTTACATTATTTCCATTACTACATTCCCCACTTTTTATCTTATGTGTACTACGACTTGAATATATTGTTTGAAATGGAATCCTGACCTACCTCACCTCTTTTTTGTATATAAATAAAATTAATTTTTATAATTTATATTTCGTTATTTTTATTTTGATGTTAAAGTATCGTTCAGTGTTCATCCCACAAAAAACGCATTGTTGGGATACCCTGCTTCTCTAAAAGGGGCACCGTATGCCTCATTTTAACAGTTTTCTTAGGGAAAATTCCAGAATTTGCATAATCTTTGGACAACTTTACGGTGAATTTTATTCTTCGATATCCTTTTCATTTCCGGGTTCAGGCGTACTAGTAAATATTGTAGATTTATTTAACCTTTTTTACCTTTTGTTTTTCTGGGTGGAGCTTTTGGAGGTGCTTTAATAATGAATGCATTGGGGGCGTACTCATTCCCAAAGTTATATTCATGATCTGATATTTATCATGGATCCACACAGTAGGTAGTTTGCAATGCGGTGTTCCGTTTAATATTTGAAACAATTTTAATGAACTGGCTTGATGAGGTGCCAGATGAAGACCATTTTGGGCTGATGCAGTGTGTAGTGTGATTAGAGAAGATACTGCCATTATCGGAGGGGGCTGGGCGATCACCTCGCGGTAATTTTTAAGGGACTCCTTGGCGATGAATTTGAAAAATCCCACTGTCCCTCCCAGAACAATAATTCGTCCATTCTGAATACCAAAAATGCTAAAAATTTCATCATAATATTAATAAGTAACAAATACAAAATCTAAGAACCTGTTGTAACATGTCTACAAACGTCTATCTTAGAAATCAAACAAACAGTATTTCATCGAACTTATTTATACTAGTAGGTATAGCATCGCAAATCACATTTCAAACACTTCCTTTCAACGCTTGATTTGTTACTGGAGTATTGACGTAGTTTTTATATTTAACGTAGTCAAGAAAATCTTTAAAACCTCGGTCGTCGAGTGAAGTATTAATTACAAAAATCACAAGTAAAGGAATTTTTTCATTACATTAAAAACACTATATAGAAGCAGCAGTGTTCCGACAATAATTTATTTAATTCAGACAACATACTATCCGACAGGTGTTTTAAATGCTGTAACTATGCGACCATGAATATGTTTATGTCATTCAACATCATGATGCCCAAGCCGTTACTTTGTAGCTTTTAAAGCACATTTATTTGGGATATCGTAGGGCAATATATTATTATCGGTCAAACATTGACAGTAAAATGGAATTCTTGGTAGCTCTCCCTTTGTATATGTTTGTGCCATTTGTTAGATGTAGAATTACGAAAAAGTATGCACCTTGGGTATCAGAAACGTTAAGGGCCTTGTTCCACCAAAGCTGTGTAACAGCGACGCGACACGATTTCGACATGGCACAAGCAGGCGACAGGGAGTTGTCCCACAAAGGCAACGTGTTTTCTACTTAAATTCACTGAACAATATCATCAAGGAAAGATAACAATGTCACTGCAATGCACTAGAGTACTTACGGAACAGAAAACATTCTAGAGAGTCAAGAAAAGGAAATGGAGAATGCTTTTATTGCAAAAACTAAAAAATCCCCGAATGTGTTTGTTGCCGCTAAGGAACTCGACAGACACCCAGTGCTGTTACTAGTTTTTCACGAAATTCCTGACAGGTAGTTCTGTTGGAATTGTAATGGAAGATTCGCAAGGCGTGGTGGATGTGAAGCTCGTTTTTTCTATAGATATGATCTATATAGAATTTAATAGCTTTGAGAAATCTGGAGGACGAGATATGGGGGATTTGGACCATATTCAGTTACCTATATTAATTAGTGCTCTTTGATTGCAACTGCGAATTCCGCATGAGGGCGTTCTCTAGATCGTGAGAAGACTAGTGAGCAGAATTTTTTGGCGTTACTTTTCGAGCAAATGAATATCGCGAAAAAAAACCAAATAGAAAACGGTATAAAAATGTTGTTTAGTTGCAATCTAAAAACATTGGATTTGACGTTTAAAATATTGCTAGAAGAATGCAACGACTTCCGAAGAGTTTGGAAAAGTTAAGGTAGCCGACGAAAAGGTCCATATTTCAAACAATAGAATTTTTTATTTCTCAACGTAATGTACTAGCGAACTCATTTTATTGTCCACATCGTCACTTCGCTTTTTTCTTTATGCAAAATTCGAGATTCATCTTAAATTGTATTACATTGGAGTAGACATTTCTTTCTATTTTTAGTGAAATATGAATTTAAGTTTCTTTTACCGTCGCATTTCATTATATTTAAATATAAATAAAGGGTAGGGACCGTGGCCACGAAAATTTATTAAGGTTAAAAAAAATCATAGGGCAAATTGTAAATAGATAAAACTGTAAAATTGGATGTAAATTGCATCGTATTCAATAGGTATTAGTTTTACCTCAATATATTATTAGTTGTTAATTTGGTTTAAATACCTAATCACCCTGTGTTTTATTTATTTGTTCAATTTTATCACGAGTGAAAAGACTAGATTTAAACATCTGGAAATAATTTTCTTTCAGCTTGTTTAATTTTTTATGTCGAATAAATTTGTAAAATCTGTCAATGGTTGGTTTTGTGATTAATCGAGCCTAGACAAGGGTACTCAAGTTACATTCTTCTATTTTGCACACAGAATTATATAAAGGATTAATTGAAAACTTGTTAATTAATTCTTTGGAATGTTCGAGGCGATTAAGGTTGCTGAAATTCTGAAATTAATTAAATTTACGGGATTTTCGGCGGTGCGTAGACCGGGCGTGAATTATTTCTTTTAAAAGTATACTATAGTAATGGGACTCAATAGAGAAATGGATTACATTTTTTTTTAATATCGAATTTTTTCGTCCTCATAATTTTTACGCGGTCAGAGCTGATTAACTTTCACTTTTTTTAAAGATGTTATTTTAGAACATTGATACTTATGCCACATACGAAGAGCTAATATTTTATTTTATTTTTAATTTATTGAGCCTTCTTATACTATATAATATAAGTATATAGAATTGTACAGTAAGATCTGATTGTACGAAATTAAGAGTTTCCAGAAAGTATGCTTCTCAAAACGTCATTCTTCTTATACGTCCAAACAGGTAAATATTGTTGTGTAAACTTGGTCACCCTGCATGTGATATAATTTAAATTCTTTGAAGTAAATGTGGTGGGTTTTTACGAATAAACACAAAGTGTGATCGTCGCGTTTGAATTTGTACTTCCGTGAATATTTTTCCATTTAGAAATGTTTGTAGAAGCGTAATTTTTGTTTTCATTTTATTGCTTTGGTAATTTAAACAATTGAGATAAAATTTAGAAGTAAGGTTAAATCGGGTCTTTAATAAGAAGCGTTTCTATCAGGCAAAATTTAATTAACGCACTTGTTTTACTGCTGATAAGAGAATGCAGGTGTTACGAAGAGGTGCGCGTTCCATGAGGAGGGAGAGGTGGGGCCGTTTAGCGCCTAACTCTGATTGGCATTTTG